CAGGCCAGAGACGCCACCCTCTCCAGGGGACAGGGGTGGGGAAGCGTCGGGAGCCCGAGTCGTGGGGGAGCCCGGTGTCCGAGCCCTCTATTGTGTGTGTGGGGGCGGGGGGAACTCCTGTGCGCCCCTGGGGCTGGGCTGCAGTGCGGTGCGAGGAAGGGAGGCCCGAAATAGCACTGCGTACACCTGGGGAGAGGCCTACACCCCTTGGCGGGGCTCGGCGCCCCTCGCTGGAGGCCCGCGCTCCCCCCTCAGCGCCCCGTCCCGCCCTGCCCTACGGGCGATTGCCTTCGCCTCGCCTCGCCTCGCCCCACGCCGTCACCACCGGCCCCACGGACGCATCCTTCCCCGCCGCTTCCTCTCGGGCTCCGCGCGATGGGGGAGGGGAGCGGCACCGCCCCTCCCCTCCAACCGCCCCTCCCGCCGGAAGCAACCTCTGCAGGCCCCGCCCACGACAGGGCGGTGCCGGGGCCGCGAGGAGGCGGGCCAATCCAAGAAGCCGAGAGGCGGCCAACTGCCACATGACGCAACGCGTATGCAAATGACGCGTCGGGCCCCGGCCGCGAGCTTGGGAAAAAGAGGGGAGAGGGGAGCGCGCTGCTGTGGAGTGCGCGGGGGCGGAGTCTGCCCAGTCTGGCCCCGCCCTTCTGTCCCTGCAGGCTGCGGAGCCGCGCCGCGCCGCGCCGGGGGCGGGGCCACAGGGGTTCAGGTTCGTGGGAGCACCGGGCTTGGGGCGTGGCGGAGGGGGCCGGCAGGGCGCTGCGGTTGGCGCCGCGCCGTTCCTGGCGTTTCTGTTCTGCCGCGCCCGGTGTGCGACCCCTAGTTAAACCCCTGAACTAAATCTGAGCCCTGTTCCTCGCGGCGAGTTCGCGGCTTAATCCAGTGCATGGGGAAACCGGCCTGGGCCGGGAAACGTGGTTTTGCCTTGTCTCCCTGACGCACAAAGCCAGCACGCTGCACTGAGCATGATTCACAGGCCCAGCTTCAAGTGGTCCCGGAGACCGATGGGTTTCCACACCTGTCCTTTTGGATCTGGGCCTTGATACCTTGAAATGGTGCTGGGATGAGCAGGCTCCAGGTTACTTCACCTGCTCGAATGCAGGACCGCAGAGGGTCACTGCAGTTGTGACCTGGTCACTGGAGGTGACCACAACTTGTTGCCTGGCTCAGTGGCGGCCAACCTTTTTGAGTGCCAAAATTAGCCCTGCACCTTCCCTGAATGCCACAGGGATCCCCTTCCCTGCCGGGTCTGCTTTCTGCCTTGTGTTCCCTACTCCATCTGCTGCTCTGCTTTCATCTGCTGCTCTGCTTTCTGCTCCCTCCCCTATGTGGCAGTGTGCTGCCTGTCCCCTCCATGGTCTGCTGCATGCCACGTGCACACAAGCTGCCTGAGGCACAAATGTCATGGGCTGGCCAGGCCTGGACTAGCTGTTTGCAAAAGTTCTTCAGTGCTTTCAAAAGGATGAATGTAAGTATTGCATGGCAGAATATGATCCCCTATTAAGATGTGTTAAATATGAGGCTGAACTGAGCTGCAAGCCATGTTAGCAAGAGAATTTATGCAGATTGAATTGCCTCAAGCTGCTGTTTATTTCAATGATGATTAAATCAAGATATTACAGCTGCATTTTCAGAGAATGGGTTACCATGGCAACCATTAGAAGGATAATCTTATTACCACAGTTTGTTATTCTAACGAGTTGTTTGCTTACACGCAGTGCAGGGTGCGTATTTTGGTCCACAGAAAATGCTTCTTCCCGAAACAAATCTGTTTCCTTCACAGCTCAGCTTCCGATTGCATGCTACCCTTTGAAGCCGTGGAAACCCAGTTGTTTTGGAATCTGCTATACCAAGGGGCTTCATTCTAGTTTCACAAACCAAAATCAAATCCAGCCTAGTTGGATCAAATTCTGTGTGCTGAAGGCAGAAAAAGCCATCAAGCGCCAAAAGATGATTTCATAGATTTCACAGACATTAGGGCTGGAAGGGATCTTGGAAGATCATTGGGTCCAGCCCCCTGCCCAGGGGGACGAAAGTCAGCTAGGGTCAAAGGATCCCAGCAAGATAAGCATCCAAATGTTTCTTGAAAGTGTCCAGAGTAGGTGCTTGCACCACCTCTCAGGGGAGTCTATTCTAGGCCTTGGGGATTCGGACAGTAAAGAAGTTTTTCCTTATGTCCAGCCTAAAATGGTCTTGCAGGTGTTTGTGACCGTTGGGCCTTGTCATGCCCTGGGGTGTTCTGGTGAACAGGCGTTCCCCCAGATCCTGATGTACACTCTTCTTGTACTTATAGGCTGCCACCAAGTCACCCCTGAGCCTGCACTTCTCCAGGCTGAAGAGTCCTATAGCTTGCAGCCTCTATTCTATTCTTGCCCTCTGCTCATGCACATGGCTCTCCTCTGACTCTTTCAAGCTTCTCCATGTCCTTCCTGAATTGTGGAGCCCAGAATTGGATGCAGTACTCCAGCTGTGGCCTCACCAAGGCTGAGTACATTGGGAGGATAACATCCTGGCTCTTGCTTGAGAAGTATCTATGGATACAAGCTAGAGTTTTGTTTGCTTTGCCGGCTGCAGTATCACATTGGTGGCTTGTGTTCATCTTGTGGTCAGTCATGACCCCCAAGTCTCTTTTGGTTGTGGTGCTAGTGAGTGTAGCATTGCTGAGCCTGTAAGTGTGATGGGGTTTTTCTTTTCCCCCAAGGTGGAGCACCTTGAATTTTTCTGTATTGAATGCCATCAGGTTTTCATCCGCCCACCTTGCAAGCCTGTTGAGACTGGCCTGGATCGCTAGCCTGTCCTTAAGTGTGGATAATCCTCCCCAAAGTTTGATGTCATCAGCAAACTTGGCCAGTCCGCTTCTGACACCAGAGTCCAGATTGCTTATACAGATATTGAAGAGTACAGGTCTGAGAACGGAGCCCTGGGGGACACCACTGGTCACTGAGTGCCCTATTGATTTGATTCCATCAACTACCACTCTCTGGGTAACAATCTCAGAGCCAGTTCCCTAGCCATTGGACTGTACTGTAGTTGAGGCCACAGTTGCCCATTTTTTTTCTGTGAGGACACCAATTGGCCCCCCTGTTTCCCTGCCACACCGGGCTGGGTCAGCACCTCCCTCCCCTGGCCCACAGCAGCTCCTGAAACTCCATAAGTGGCCCTCCAGACCAAACAATTCCCACCCCTGCTGCTCTAAGGCCACCTGCTCAGAGAAGCTCTGCCTTAAAGTCTGTGATAGGAGAAAGAATCAGACCCTTAGTCTTTGAGTTAAATGGTTGCAAACAAACAAGAAAAACATAATATTAAAGCAATTTGATTCCAAATAACTACCTCTTTTATTCCTTTTCCTTACGCTTTTCAATCACCCACAAGATACTTTGCATGAACTCAACTTAAATTTTGCATGGAAAATACAAATAAAAGAAAAATCCATTTAATTTCTCAACGTACAAGAGGCGAGGATTTTTTTGTGATATCTTTTAATGGAACAAATGCATAGTTGGGAGACCTGTAGGACAAGCTTTTAGGAATCAAGTGCCCATGCTCAAGTTATGTAGTCCAATAAAAGATATCACAAAAAATTCTCACCTCTTGTGTATTTCTACTTTTATTCCTTTATATATCCCAAAGAAACCCAAATGGACAAACCTCCGGACTCTCCATCAGTGAAGGTTTTCAAGAGAGATTGGACAGCCATTGGTTAGGAATTATCTAGGCAGAGCTATGCCTGTATTTCTACTATGGGTATTTCCGATATATCTGAACTTTGCTGGTTCCCCTCTACCCTTTCTGCTACATGTGACAAGGTGTTTTTAAGCCTTCTTCAGAGGCATTGGGTGTTGGTTACAGGCAAAGCTGTGGACTTTGACTGGGGTGTGCCAGTGCTCCTGCTGGGTCTTGCTCCTCTGCTCAGGATCGGGTTGATCACCAAATTTTGGGTCAGGAAGGCATTTTACCCCATGGTTGGGTTGGTATGGACTGTGGGGGTTTTTGCTTTCCTCTTTAATGGTGGACACATGGTCCTCTATCCGAGATCTCTTGAGCATATATTGACAATATTTCGTAGAAGCAGAATGATGGCTGCCATAGTTCCCGTTTTACTTGCGGCAGGTTAGGGTATTATGTCTGTTGTATCAGGGTCGATGGTAGTCTTATGCAGAGTTACATTATGGTTTGTATAGGATGGTTTGGATAGGGATGACCCTGACTCAGGCAGAGGTAACTTCCAGCTCATTCTCTATGGGCATTTGTAGATGACATGGGGTTTAAATTGAAGCAGTTGTTTTTTAAAAACACCGCTTCAATTTAGGGCGAAGTAAACCCCCTTGTGTGTACTCCTGTGTCAGAGTGCGATCCTTACCTGCCTCTCTGGCACTGAGGAGGGGAGAGTGAGCTGCCAGTGAGCCGATCAGTCCCTGAGCTGCTGGGTGGCGGGGGCTGGTGCTTCTCTCCATGGCAGTGGCGGGCCCCCCCCGGAGACGCCC